AGGGTAAACAAAGGAGGAGGCTGCAATGCTTGATAAGAAATGTACTCATTATCTTGCCCATGTAATTGTAACCCCTCTGTACAGTATGTTCACAAAAAATTAAAATTTAAATTAAAAAAAAAAGCTGTCTGAAAGAAAATAAAAACCAACAACTAACATCAAGGATAGGAAATGTTTATGTCAATAAAGGATTTAGTCTGTTAAAAAAGTCATTTTAGGAAAAAAATGAGTCAGAAGAGTCCTAGATATAATGCACATTTTCTCTTCTGTATTTATTATGCATATACTGTCATCACAGATGATTGTGATCTAGCTTTCTACAAATTTCTTGCAAAAATATTCTTGTATCCTAAAATTTTTTTCATTCCCCATCCTAAGGAGTAAGTTGTACTGTAACTGTACATGCTCATCATAAGAGGTGATAACTGGGGAGGTAGAGGCAATATAATTGTGAGTTCAAGGCCAGCCAAGCCTAAAGTGAGGGTTTACCTAAAAAACAAAAAACAACTAACCCTAGGTTAAAAATATTTTCTTTGGAATAGACAGACTACAAATTAAAAACAAAAACAATTTAGATATTAGCCAAGACCAAACAAAGGGTGTTGGCAATCCATTTTCAGACTACAGATCTTATTCTTCCATACTACTAACACCCTGTTCGCCATTATAATGCAGTAACAGTCACAAAGTTGCTATATATGACTGGATGTATTTCTAGGATTTCTATTCTCTTCCATTATTATATTTTCCTAACACTCCCCAGTTCACATTGTCTTAATTATTACTGGTTTAAAATAATTTTTCCTGTTTTTACTTTGAAGCAGATTCTTCCTTGTGAAACTGATTAACTCATTCAGAAGGAAATGCTTCAATTCCACTTTTTTTTTCATCTGTGGAACAAAGTATGTTATGCAATGGTTTCTATCCTTAGTTCTTTTGTTCCACAGTTACCAACTATTCCCTCATCTTGAAAAGCAATGCTAAAAACAATGTTCATTATTGGGCCAAAGGAGGAATGGCAAATAGAGTGACAGTAAAAAAGGAAAATAAATCTGTTCTCCTAATGGGGAACATACTACTATAGTGTGGTCCGATAGTGAACCAGGCTTGCTATTTCTTAAATTGTGCAAAGATGGGTCCAAGGTGATGACTTTCTTCCCAACAAACACTATGCATATGTGTAATAATGTGTCTGCTTTTGTACCTTTGGTATATCAGGATACCTGTTGGAATTTACATACTTATAAAATATTTTCATAAGTAAGCCTCACAAGGAAAAATTAGCTTCAGCTGGAGCTTAACTACTAACAGAGGACTTTGGGGTAAGGAATGACAGAAAATTTTACCTGGAAATGAGGCTCTTTGAGTATACCAACCAGCTCTGCTGCATTTTCATCCACATTTATCAGAGGAGTGATATCTTCAAGAATTTCATTGACTAATTCCAAGTTATTGTCACTGACAGCTTCTAATTTTGAATCTTCAAGCCTCTCATGAGCCTGAAAAGACAAGAGTTACTAAAGTAAAAGTGTTTGCTTGGTTCTAGGTAAGTTTTTTTTTTTGACAGTTCTTGGCTTATTTCTTTTTCCTAGTTTTAAAAGGTATTGATTGGGAGTTGATTAATTAAAGCCAAATTTAATAGTTTAATAAGAGGAAATATTTGGATTTTATTATGTATCATGCAAAATGATAAAGCTTAGCTATAAGTAGCTACAGTTTTATTACCACTTCTGAGAAGACTGAACAATGAGATGACTAAATATGAAGCATGTTATGTAATCTATTCACAACAGGAATTCCTAATGACTTCCTAGCCAAAGCTTCAATTCTAGATACAATTGTGTTTTATTAAATAATTATCCATAACAGAATGAACAATAGACATAATCTTTATATAGGATTATGTTTGCAAAAATGTGAAGATCAGCCTTGTGTGGTGATACATGCCTGTAATCCCAGCATTCAGGAGGCTGAGGCAAGAGGATTTTTAAGGTTAACCTCAGTTAGACAGACTTCGGGTTTAAAAAAATTAAAATGCACAAAAAAACAAAGATCATTTGGGAAATCTTATTTTTCAATTTTGAAAACCAGAGCTTTAGTGCAGCACCTGCCTAATGTGTGAGGCCCTAGGTTCAAGCCCCGCAACTACAAAAAGTAAAATGCTAATTTATAGCAGGTGGTTCTTGAATAGGACTTTGACAGACCTCATAATTTAAGTAGGGAAATGAGCCCTTCTGTTTCCATATGTTTTAAATAATACAACCCGTCCCACAAAAAATGCATTGTGAACTTGAGTATCTTCTTAACAGGAATAGTGAAGCAGACTTCTAAATTCAAACAGAATGAATACTGAGCAGATTCCATCTTTAAAGTGCTTTGCTTTTCTAATAAATGTGGCAAATTTTGAAGCAAGTAAGAAGACCCTTCCTTCCTTCCTTCCTTCCTTCCCTCCCTCCCTCCCTCCCTCTTTCCTTCCTTCCTTCCTTCCCTCTCTCCCTCCCTCCGTCCTTCGTCAGTTATGGGGCTTGAACTCTGGGCCTGGGAGCTGTCCCTGAGCTCTTCAGTTCAAAGCAAGCACTCTACACTTGAGCCACAGTGCCACTCCGGTTTTCTGGTGGTTTATTAGAGATAAGAGTCTCACAGACTTTCCTGCCCAGGCTGGCTTTGAACTGTAATCCTCAGATTTTAGCCTCCTGAGTAGCTAGGATTACAGGGGTGAGCCACCAGAACTTGGCTTATTCACATATATTCTTTTTTTTTTTCAAGCAGGATATTCACATATCTTCTTTTGCCTCTGCCCAAACATAGTTTACCCTATTAGTCGCACTTTGTATTAGTGTGGTAAATTTGTTGTAATTGATGAATGAAGAATTATACATTATTAAGTAAAGCCAATAATACATTAGAGTTCATTCTTTATGTTGTAACAATTCTAAAGGCCTTGACAAATGTCACCTGTGCACCACTACAATACAGAGTAACTTCATTGCCTTAAAGGCATCCTGTTGTAAACTATCCATCCCGGTTTCTCACAATTGCACCATCCAAGTACCGATTTCTTAAACTGTTTCTAGCTTCTGCTTTTTTCAAGAATGTCAAATAGTTGGTATAATCCTGTATGAGGCTTTTTCAGACAGTTTCTTTCACTTAATAATACACATTTAAAGTTCTTTCATGTCTTCCTATGGCTTGGTAGCTTATTTCTTTTTATGGCTGAATAATAATCCATTGTATTGTTTATCCATTTACCTACTGAAGGACATTTCACTTCCAAGTTTTGGCAATTACAAATAAAGCTACTATAAACATTTACATGCAGGTTTCTGGGTAAATATAAAAGATCAAGTCACTGGGTAAATACCATAGAGCACAATGATGGACAGAAGACTGCTTAATTTTTTAAGAAACTGCCACAGGCAAATTAGTGCACCTCTATAGTCCTAACTACTTGGGAGACAGAGGGGGGAAGATCCTAATTCAAGGCTAGCCTTGGTAAAAGTTAATGTGAGAACTTAGAGGTAGAGGTGATTGCCAGACTGTCTTCCAAAGTAGCTTTATCATTTTGTACTATTACTAACAATGAATGAGCAGCTTCCTTTTAGGACACAAGCTTTTGAAATATTATTTCTAGTCTATAAATTGACTTTGGTTAATAGTATTTTGTGAAATAGATGTTTTAATAATTAATCAAATTTTTGTTATGCATTAGGTTTGTCTTATTTGAAGCAACAAGTATGTCAGCTAGAAATAATCATTTTACGATATATACATATACAATAATACAATTTATTTGGTAAACATCTTTTCTTTTTGTTATTGTAGAGCTGATATACAGAGAGTGAATTAGGTAATGAGTAACTGTACAATTCTTTTTGAACCACCTCTCCCCTTCCCTCAGTCTCCCAGTTTTTCTCTCCCTTCCTCACTTAGTGTCTGGTGAATACCACTGTTGCATTTGATCACCCTTGTTTCTCTTTTTCTGTGCCCCAATTACCCTCTCAAATACAAATGAAAGGAAAAGAAAATAAAAACAGCAAGGTTGGCAACTAAAACATGTCTTGTTTCTTTTTCTTGGAGTTCATTTCATAGAACATTATTTGATATGACCATATGCACATAGCTATTGAGCCTTTGTCAACCACTCCTATGAATATGTCCTCCTTCACTCTCAGTGTGTGAATGTCTAGAGTACTATATAATCTATCATGTCCCATTGTGTGTGTATTTTAATCATTCAATATGTTTACTTGTATATACTACATTTTTTTAATCCATTCATCCACTAAGAAACATCTGGGTTGCTTCTGTATCTTGGCTATGGTAAACAATGCTTCAATGAACATGGTTGTGCTGGTGGCTTTACTAGTTATGCATCAAATAGGGGCATCATATCTAAAATATACTTAGAGCTCAAAAAGTTAACCCCCCCAAAAAACATTAACCCTCAACAACCCAATCAATAAATGGGCTAAAGACTTAAAAGAGACTTCTCAGAGGAAGAAGAATGACCAGTAGATGCATGAAGAAGTTTTCAATGTCTCTAGTCATAAAATAAATGCAAAAAACTGAGATTCTACCTTACTCCAGTTAGAATGGCAATTAACAGGACAACTAAGAATAAATGCTGATGGGGATGTGTCCAAAAGGGAACTCTACTCCACCACTGGTGGGAATGTAAACTTCTTCAACCACTCTGGAAAGTTGTATGGAGGTTCCTTAAAAAATGACATAGAGCTTCCCCATGACCCAGCAATTTCCCTCCTAGGCATTTATCCAATGGACCACAAACAGGCCACACTAAAGCCACCAGCACAATGTTTCTCCTCTCCTCTCCCTCCCTTCTCGTGTGTGTTTACGTATGCGCACGCACGCGCATGTTCGCATGCCCATCCTGGGGCTTGAACTCAGGGCCTGGGAGCTGTCCCTGAGCTTTTATGCTCAAGGTTAGCGCTCTACCACTTGAGCCACAGCTCTACTTCCAGCCTTTTCAGTGCTTCACTGGAGATATGAGTTTCATCTCATGGATGGGACTTCCAGCTTTTCTGGTGCTTAATTGGAGTCTTATCTCATAGGTTTCCTGTCTGGGCTGACTTTGAACCCTGATCCTCAGATATCAGCCTCCCAGGTCTAGAAGGATCATAGGTATGGGCCACCTGTATTTTGGCCTACAAATAACTTTTCTGTATGTGTTCTTTCAAAAGTTTTGATGGTCTTAATTCATACTCTCTGATCAATGATTTATGCTGAGTACTCTTTTCATCCATTGTGAAGAAAAGGAAAATATTCATTTTTTGCATATGAACATTCAATTGTCAATTGTTCCAACAATTCAATGTGAAAGGATTCTCAACTTGTCCACTGAATTCCCAATACATTATTAAAAAAATCAGTAGCATAGGCACATGCTGGTCTCTTTCTAGATTCCCCTTTCTGTGCTGTGACCTTTATGTTGATAGTAAATTGTCTTTATTTACAGTAGAGTCATAGCTATCTTTGAAATTTAGCTGGTGAACCTCACATTTTGTTTTCCAGGTGTTTTTTTTTTTGATAATCCTGAAATTTTGACTAGGATTATGCTGCATCTATAGATCAGTATGAGGAGAACTAACAAAAAGTAATATAACATCCATTCCCTCCTGTATATACATATATGTATATACTTAGGCCTTCAGTTTCAATAATGCTTTAGTTTTCAATGTACAGGGCTTGCACATATTTGGTAAAATTTGTCCCTAATTTAAACTACAATTTCCTTTTCTTTCATTGCTAATATAGACATGATAGAATGTATTTCCTTCCTTTCTGTAGGGAATAATGTAAAATAGTATTTCTTCTTCAACTATTTGATAGAATAATGGTGAAGACACTTGTGGCTAGAGCTTTGTTTACAGAATGGTTTCAAAATATTCAATTTTGAAAAAAAAGACTTATAGAACCTTTGTAGTTATCTTGTGAGAAAATTTGTGTCTTTCAATTCCATCTAAGTTGTCATAAAGTTCTTCATAATATTTCTTCTTACCCTTGCAATACCTGTGGACTTGTGAGGTGCTCTTTTATACCTGATACCAAACATTTGGGTCCTAAATCATACTGATTTTTCTCTATTTTTGTCATTTTTATGTCTATTCTTTATTATTTACTTGCTTTTCTGCACTAGCTAAGGGCCCCTAGTATGCAGTGACAGAAATGACGGAAGCATCCATCTTTATCTTGCCTCTGATCTTAAAAGAACAGCATCCTATTTTCCACCACAAATTAAATCTTCTTTGCTTTGTGAGATCATTGCTCTTTTCTAATATTGGTATTTCCCTCTAAGTGTTGCTTTGCTGCATACCTCACAATTTTTGATATACATTCTCATTTATATAAAAACAATTCTTGTGATCTCTTCTTTGACTCATGGTTACTTAGAAGCATATTATATCTAAACATTAAAGGATTCCCCCCCCCCACACACACACAACTTTGTTACTGATTTTCAGCTATGGTCTGTATTAGTTGATAAGATCAGGCTGCTACAGTATGCTGGATATGAACTTTGCCCAATAGCCTGCATATTGTGAAGGCTTACAGCTTAGGGAAATCAAAAGATTATCTGTCCTTTGTGGGCCATGGAAATTGCTTAGCATATTTATTTCTGGCATATCTTTCCTAGGGGGCTAGAAGTTTATTTTCCATATGTGTAGGTCAGTACTCACCAAAGCTCTTTTTTTTTGGATCCGGTCGGGGCCTGAACTCTGGGCCTGGGTGCCGTCCCTCAGCTCTTCAGCTCAAGGCTAGCACTCTACCACTTGAGCCACAGCGCCACTTCCGGCTTTTTTTTTTCTTTTTGCTTATGTGGTGCTGAGGAATCAAACCCAGGGCCTCAGGCATGCAAGGTAAGCACTCTACCACTGAGCCACCTTCCCAGCCCTCACCAAAGCTCTTATGTTCAAATCTTCCTCCTTGCAGTTTGTACCCCCACTAATTCCAATTACATAATACATTCAGAATTCTATCAAGACATTATTATGGTTTGTTTTCCTCTTCTGCATTTCAAGCTAAAAGTATCTATATTTTTATAATTTCTTTCCCGCAGGGGTCATAGTTCTATACTACTTATTGTCCAGTGTCTAGAAATAAGATATCCTCTTTAGTATAGTATCCTTTCTAGATGTTTCTGGAGGATAATTTTAGACTTCATTTTTTCCTTTTTTGGACTGGGTGAAATATATTCATCCTTGTAATTTTACTTTTGGTGGTTAATTTAAAAGATTTTAATATCTGTCACTGATATTTTAAATTCCACTTAAGCTATTACTTCTACCGCTTCTGAAAAATTAGGCCTATATATAATCCTTTTGGACTAATATCTTCACCAAATTTGTATATACATATATGCATATATATATATATATATATATATCCATGTACATATACTATGTGTGTATTTACAAACATACATGTAAGTCGTGGGACATATCATTTTAAAAATTGGTATTACATTTACCAATTGATAAATCTGTTATTCTATCAAAAATATAAACTTTCTTAGATTTTGGTAACAGTATGTTCTGTTTAATAGTCAAAGGTTGATTTTGCTGGTCAGAATGCAAAGTTGGCAATGTTTTCTTGCTGGCACTTTAAAAATTTCAAACCATGGTGCTATGACTTTCCTAGTTCCTACTTTATTGCTACTCATTATTCTTATTCCTCCTTAAATATAATGTGCCTTTTTCCCTCTGACTGCTTAACAAATTTCCATTCTGTCTTCGAATTTCAATAGTTTAACTAGATGTCCTTGTAATATGTTTTTCTTTAGAGTTCTTTTGCCAGAGAGTTTACTTGCCCTCCTAAAATAATGTCAGTTAATGTTATTAGTTTTGAAATTTCTTGGGACATTGCACTTTGAACTATTTCTTCTCCTCTTTCCATTTTTTACTAATTATATATATATAACTAAAAATTTAAATAATACTCTGTGCTGTTGTTATTTTGATACAGGTTTTCTAACAGCATTTTATTGTTTTTACTTTTCTATTAATAAATTAAGATCTATGTTTACAAATTCCAATAGAATGTCTATTTATGTTATTGCTTCTATTATTTCCTCCTAATAACTAGTCACATAATTCTGCCTCTCAGGACAATATATACCTCTCTTTTTTTGTTTCCTACTTTATGCACTAAAAGTATTGGCCTGCTGTGACTTATTTCTCCTTAGAAGCAGAAGTCCTCCTTACTATTGCAATTTCTTTACCTTTAATGTGGGAATATTGACTATAATCTGCTTGAATGTTGGTTACTACGGAGTCTGGTCTTAATTTAATTTTTTCAAATTTATTTTTATTGTAAAATTTATTTTTATGTTACAGTTGCATTAAGTCAGGTAATCAATACATTTCTTTATAAACAGTGTTACCTCTTCCTTAATTTTCTCCCAGTTTTTCCCTCCTGTCCCTCTTCCTACACAAGTTGTATAGTTCATAGTGCACATCACTACTGCATTAGTTCACCCTTTGTCCCACCATTGCTATGCTGTCCCTTACTCTTCATTTAATTGTATTCAACAGAAAAGTATAGTTGCACCTTACCTGCTCAAAAATGATTACACCATTAAACTTTAGAACCATTTAAACCATTTAAATTGGTGATTCTCTGAAAGGCCATCACCACTATCACAAATTCAGTAAACTTTTACTCACAGTTGTTATGAATATACATATATACCAACACTGTTACCACAGAAAGAGCACACTCCTGACTTGAGAGTAGGAAACCTATCCTAAATCTTATCTGTCAATTACTGACAAAGTGACCTTAGGTATAAACTATTTTAACTCGTGTGTGTGTGTGTGTGTGTGTGTATGTTTTCATTGTAAAAATACTGTACACAGGGGTTACAGTTACATGAGTAAGGTAATGAGTACATTTTCTATCGAGCATTATTACCTCCTCCTTTGATTTTCCCCTACCATCCCTTCCCTCCCCACCTCCCCAATTCCTCCCTCCCCACCCCCAGAGTTGTAAAGTTCATTTTCAACATAGTGTCTTGTACATCTCATTGTTACAATGGGTCAACCTGTATCCTTATTTTAGCATTTTGTTATTCCCTTTCCCACCCTAAATTAGAAAAATGTATAAATTATTTTAACTCATAATTTTCTTTTCATAAATCTATTGCAGGGCTAGGAGTGTGACTCAAGGGGTAGAGCACTAGCCCCGAATTCAAATCCCATTACTGCCAAAAATAAACAAGCAAAAGAAAACAAGTTGTTACAAAGATTAAGAGTATGGCTTTTAGTTCTGAGGCATTTTAAAATGCAAAATATGTGTTTAAAAAGAACTTTGTAAGTTATAAATAGGTTGTAAACATGGGAACCAGAATGAAACTGATTCATGGAAAACAAAACCTAACTAGTATGACGCCAAAGGAGGAGTGGAAAATATTTTACAAGTACCAATGAGAACCTAGGATAAGCCATCTAATACAGTTAAAGAGCGCCTACTGATTTCTACAGGTTCTGAAGCTATCACTTATCTCCACACAGAAAGCCAATGATATACTATATATTATCTTTGAAATAAGTGTATAATAAATGAGAAGCCTGTCATAAAAATGGCTAAAATAAAAATCCCAGTTGGGTGAGCTGAAAGAGGATTCCTTTGTACCTATGATCCTTTGTATCACATGTTAATATAAGTAATTGTATGAATAAAATGAAGAGTATGCATCATTAACTCACTCAATAATAGAAAACTTTGTAAAATGCATGATTTTCCAGAATGTTTAGACAAAAATAGATTGAGAGAGATTACAGGAGAGGGTGAAAATAACCTTCTAAGGGTGGAGAACAAAAATAATAGTGGCTGGTGCTGGGGGCTCACACTATAATCCCAGATACTCAGGAACTTGTATGAAAACAGGCAGATGTCATTAAAAAAAAAACAGTACCTTGTTATTGTGGGAAATGGAGGTAGGTAACATGAACGTGCTTATTATGATTTCTCTAAAATGTTAGGTCAAAGGGTCATTTAATTCTGTACTTAAAGACAGAATAAGCTGGGCACTGGTGGCTCATGCCTATAATTCTAGCTACTCAGGGGGCTATGATCTGAGTTATACAGTTCAAAGCTAAGCTTTGGAGAGAAGTCTTATGGACTTACCTCCAATTAACCACCAGAAAACTAGAAGTGGCACTGTGGCTCAAAATGGTAGAGCACTAGTCTTGAGCACAAAAGCTCAGGACAGAGCCCAAGCCCTGAGTTCAAGCCCCATGACCAAAAAATTAAATAAATTATGTGGTGTTAGTATTTGCTAACTATGCTTAAGGTATATTAACCAAGTTCTAAGTAATATTGAAATGACTTGTAGACACAATTTTCAAAGCAATCCAGTAAAATAAGCTGATATACCTTAGCAAGTGATTTTACAATAGGATTCTCCATAATCCCCTTGAGGAAAATTAGGTCTATTTCTTCTGCTCCTGTAGATGAGGGCAGCTCTGTAAGATTTTCCAAGACTTGCTGCATTGCTGTTGAGATAAAAGCCACATTAAGAAAAAAGAAAGTCATCTAAGCTACTACAGAGTAAGACATTAATAACACTTTTGAAAGTATTGTTCATTAACAAAACTGAACTATTAAACAATATGAGTTTCAAATTAACTTCTCATGAATTAGAATATTTCTATTTAGAAATTAGAATTAGGATATTTCTATTCTAATATTTCTATTAGATAGATTTTTACATATGCAATTTGGGTTTTATCAGACAACAACGTACAATGGCTTTATATTTTTCAAATCTGAAAACATTACTCAACAGGAAATACAAATTGGAATAGATTTAACAAAAGATAAATACATTGAATCAACAATTAAAAGGTCCCACAATTTCAGAATCAGTCTTTACTGGTAAATTCCTAATTTAAAAAGGTATTAAAACTAATAATTAACAAACTATCACAAAAATATGATAATAGTGAATACTTCCCAACTCATTCTGTGAAAACATCTACCTTGACACTAAATCCAGAAAATTCACAAAAATTTACAGCCAATATCCTGTATACATATGAATATATATAGGCAACATCCTAATTTATTATACATATGATTTATGAATATATAAATTACAGCATATATGACAAATATATGATGTACATTATATAACATATACTAAACATCAGATATTACATATCATGTATCTTTTATGATTATATATCCTTTATGAATATATATGAAATGACAAATACATATGTATTTATCATATATCATGTATTACATATGCACATACATATATGTATATACATACATTTACACGTGTGTATATGAGAAACTTTTCATGAAGTATATAACAGGCCTACTTCCAACTTAAAAAAGTGAAGTTCAACAGAGTTCTTTACCAATATTAAGGCAACAAAGTCTGAGCTATTACTGGGAAACCTTTCTTGCTGATGATCCTTCAGCTAAAATGGAAATACTGTATTTTTTGTTCCTCACATTTCCAACAAAGTACCTTCATGGTTTTGAAAAAATAAGACAAAGAAGACATTAATAAGAATTAAAACCACAGAGCATTAAAACATGGAACAAATGCATAATAATGACTCAGACATAGATAATCATAGGGCAACTCCAGTGTTTATAAAAGTGTTGTATATAAAATAAGCAGCTCTTGTCAGGCACCAGAGGCTCAGGCCTATAATCCTAGCTGCTCAAGAGGCTGAGATCTGAGGATCCCCTTTGAAAGCTAGCCTGAACAGGAAAGCCCAGGAGACTCATTTACAATGAACCATTAACAAGCTGGAAGTGGAGCTGTGGCTCAAGCAATAGAGTATTTGCCTTGAGCAAAAATGCTCAGGCACAGCACCCCGGCCCTGAGTTCAAGGCTCAGAAAAGTGTGCTCAGGCACGAGCGCGCGCACACACGCACACACACACACACACACACACACACA